TATGTATTCAAATCAAATCGAAGAAACTGACGATGTTCAATGATTCGTGGACTCTGGAAATTATAAAATGTTAATAGGGTCTGTAAAAAATGCAAAACGTTTGCGCAATATACATACATATTTATAAATAAAAATACAGACACTATATATTTTAATTTGTTTTATACAGTGTTCTTCGCGACACACTGATATTTTATGTTTGACGCGATGTGGTAATAATATGCTAAACATAGTAAAAAGATTTATATTTTATTTTGTTACTACATCATAACGTGATGAAATATGTAATTTATATTGAAAACACATATGTATATGAATTATATTATATATTTATACATTACAAATGTTACGTTACTGGTAATTTATATGATTTGTTTATTTCCTTATATACAACATTTGCATAACACATGCAGGCGCGCTATTATTCTATTTTATTTACGCTATTTTAAAGTATAATAACTTTCTTACATGCAAATAAATATAACATTTTAATACACATATGTTGTAATATCGAGTACATATATCAAAAGGGAATTTTTTCAGTGAGTTCATAAAAAAATTTTTCTTTACATTCTGTATGCTGTTTTTAGCGTAAACATAATAAATCGTATCAAATAAATGAAAACACATTATGCAACAATAAGTACAGATGAATGATTTATTTCTCGCATGTGCGTAATTCTAAGTGCAATTTTAGACATTTTTCTACTGTTGAAATTATTTCTGTTCTCAATTGCAATTAGTAGTTCGAAAGTTTAGTAGTTTTTTAGATACTTAAGCATGCAAAAGAATACACAAAAAAATTAAAGTATATACACTTAAATTAGAAAGAAAATATATTGAAAATGTAATAATTAATTAACAAATAATGCTAATTTTAAATGCAATTACTAAATAAATGCTGTAACTCAATAATCGACACGACAACATTTTTAAAGATTTAAATGACAACAATATAAAATAATTCACGCATTTGAATAATATTTCTTTTCTAATTAAACTGCATACTCTTCAAAAAGCAATTATTTGCGTAAGTGTATTTAAATATATTTTTCACCAAATTTTGGCAAAGTGCTTGCTTTTTATGCGATGTATCCATCAAGTAAAATAACAAAAAGTTCATACATAAAAAAACTTACTCCTGAGTATATTTTATTTCCCTGAGATTTTTATAATGAGATATCCACTGAAATTTCTTGCACGTAGAACTAAAATTATCAATGTCCCTAAAGCTAATAATTTCACTTTCTAGAATTATTAAAATAATCTCGGGAGGCAAATCCTCTATCGTAACCATTATATTGTATATACGAGAAAAATATATATAACAAACACACGTACAATATAAAAACAACTTGCAGTTTTAATCTTAACGCATCGAATAATATTCTAATGCACCAACTCCGTTTTGTAGAGAACACAAGACTTACTGCATCGTAGGACAACTGTAGACCTGGAATGTCCAAATGCTTCCGGAAAGGGTGGGGGAAACAAAGAAATGATATATTATACAGGGTGTATCAAACTTAACGTGTCACACATTAATGGGAAATTCTTGACGTGATTTGCAAACGATTTTTTCTCGGTGAAAATGTCCAATCAATAATTTTCGAGTTATAAACGATTGAAAATAAGGGTTTTTCGCAAACTAAGCTTTGAGGAAATAAAATATTAACAAAGTTATATTTTTTTATTAATTTTAAGTAGAGTTTACTTTAATAGAATTTTAATTTAAGATGTGGTTACAAAGATACATGATTTCAAAAATAGGGAACATTAAAAAATGATGACCTTTCTCGACATTTTTGCTGAAGAATCGTCTCCAAACAACCTTAGAAATCTTCCATTAACGCGTGGTACGATATATCTGAAACACCCTGTATATTTCTTGTATCTTTCACTCGAGTTTCCACAACGACTTTTCTTGGATCCGACTCTGGAATTTTGACCTGCCATTTTCGTTCGTGGGAAAAAAATTAATTTTCTTTTGTACTTTGGGCGCGTTCTTGTTCGTTAATTATATTTTGCCACTATCACGGACCGGGAGAGGATATTTTATCCGGAATTATTAATTTAGGGTGCAAAGTATACTGTATCTCACTTCATTTTATTCGTAGCACAAAAGACCTGATACAGACTTTTTACTCTTTACCGAGAAAAACTGTGTTACGCAAACGCAAGTCAAATTCTATCTGCTCTCGAGGCCGCGTATTGTCTCGCCTCTCTCTTTAATTCCTCGACCTTATTTTTATTTTTAGGTGATTAGACTATCTTTTATTTTGAGGTTCTCTCGCTTTTTATTATGTTCGGAAATCAAAATTTACCTTTGTCATGTTAGTCGCTTAATTATTTATTTATTGTTTTGTGTCACCGCTCGCGATATCCTCAACACTCGTCGCTTGTAATTCAAATTTTTATTTTATATATATCTTATGTGTTTGTGGCATTTATCGCCACACTATGTTTGCATATATAAATCATATAAAAATCAAAAATTACAGTTTTGTTATCGACTTCTTTGTGTCAGTTTGTAATAATACTTAATTAATAAAAAAATTCTACAGTTTGTCTGTGTATATAAAATATAGTATACGCGGTAAGGATAATATAAAGAATTATTAGTGAACGATTAAAAGTGAGATTGCAAGTCTAATAAAAAAATTATATATTAGAAACATTTTTACGCGTATGTGTTGTATACGTGCATATGTTTAGATATGTGTGGTGCTAACTTATCGGAGTTCGGCCGTCGCTCCAGCATCCCCTAATTACAACTAACATGGATGTTACATGTAACGTACACGTTATATTACCTGTTACATTCTGTTTTATTATAGCAATGTAACAGTTATATATCAGTGTTTGCTGGGATCATATTTTAATCAAAACTGACGCTTTTTTAATTCTAAGAAAGAGGGAAACGTCTTATCTTATAACTTATTATGTTATTTTTATAAAAACTAGTGTTGAGATGCATTTTACAAGATTATATTATTACATCACGGTCTTTTTTACACTGTACTCCTCAATTTACTCCAACATATTGTTTTAAAATTAAACAATTATGGTAACAGAAATTATAACTCTCTCAATTGCCGTTTATTTTAATTTCTGCTTTATCAAATAACTAGCAATTTGAGAAGAATGCAGTATAAGTAGCGTTATTTTAATATTTTTCTCAATCATCAAATATCAAAGTACTTATTGACTAATAAAAACAGTAGAAAATTATTGTCAACTTTTTATTTTAAAAATTCAAATAATGTTATGTGAATTTACTTTTAACACGATTTTACGTTTATTTTATAAAAAGACAAATTAACTGTGACATGAAGAATCATCAAATCTTATTATAGAAATCATTGAATTATTTTAGTGTCACATTGTATCACTTTTGTTCGGGATACCTTTTATCACGTGCTAATGTTTTTTGTACTAAATCTCCTCGAGATTTTTTATCACAAACTCTTTGAGTGAGAAAACAGCTTTTGGAATTATCCGCGAGTAGTCGTATGCGTGAAAATATGGATGGAAAATATTTATATTAGACAGAGTCAGTAACAGTAAGAGGCTCCGATAATAAATATAATGAGCGGAAAACAGGGCCAATTAAAAGTCAAGCATTGTTATTGATACGCAAAACGAATAATGATAAATTAAATAATTTATTAATACATTTCGGTTTTAAGTTCGGACCATCTTTAGCATCTGAGAAATTGATACGATATAAATTTAGAAAAATAATATTCTTATAATCAGCAAAGCGTGAATAGATTCATACATACATGATTAAAACAATATCAACGAGCAAATTATCGTAGATATACAAACACCATCCGAAAAATCAGTATCTTATTCCGGTGCTCGCCGAACAAGATTATTCCGAACAAGCACACGCACCACAAATTGAGATACAGTGATCGAGATAATGAACAGTAATAGCTAAACTATTCTTGTGTCGAAGAACAATGAGAAATAAACAAAACATAATAGATATAAACAACGTGTCACACCATGTTGTAAAGAGAAATTCATAATCGCTATGAACATTGCCGAATTTTTAACAAGTCATTATGTTATAATAAAGACCTATTTATACTTTGCGACAAATCTAAAACGTCAAACTAAACACAATGTAGTTTATAAGAAAATAATTTTTCTAAATTTTTATCGTATTAATTTTTCAGATGCTGAAGATGGTCCGAACTTAGGACCAAAACGTACTAATAAAATATATAATTTATCACATTATTCAATTTGCATATCAATAACTACGTCTGGCTCTTAGTTAGCCCTGTTTTCTACACATTATCTTTATTTATTATATTTATTATATTTATTTATTAGAATTTAAAAAAAATATATTGCATACGTAATATTCAATGTTAACTTTCAATCAATTTGGAATTTTCATCTTATTCAAATAAAAAAAAAAAAACATTTGTTCCCAAAGTTTTTGGTCCTCGATTTACCGAAAACTTTTCTTCCTTCTTCAATAGCAATAAGTTTGGATATCAAAGAATTAAATCACTCACAATATTTTTAACTATTTTTTAATTATCAGAATTTCTCAAAATTATATTTATTTGTATGTGTTTGTGGTAATGTTAATAGTTAATAGCCATAATAATTGTATACTAAAATTAACATTTTTTCTGATCATGAATAAAATAAAAATATAATATATAATATTAAATATAACAGCTGCTTACAGCGACACCTTTAGTCGATATCATGAAATAAAGACAACAATAATTTTCAAAACTTCAAAGTAATGTTTTATTCGTTCTATTGATCGATCGAATGAATCATACATAAATGTGTGTGTACATCTCTCATAGAAATTTATCATTAGTAACGCCAATTAATCACTTATTTCGAGTACTTAAAATACTGATATACAGTAATTTAAGTACTCGAAATAAATGATTAAGTACTCGAAATGTGATAAATTGGCGTTACTAATAATAAATTTCTATAAGAAATAATTACAAATAATTTTAATATTACTAATACATATTCTTTTGTCATCTTAAATATTTTAACGTATTATCTATGTTTGATCTAAGTCTATTGTCAGAGAACAAATCTTTACATATACACTTTTTATGCGCATTATTTTAGAAGGATTTTCTCTCTTTGGCAAGATATTTATGATGGTTTGTTATTGCTTTCCGAGAACTGGCATCAATATACAAACTTTCAAATTTCAATCCAGCTTTTAACCCTGACTAAAAAATGGCAGACACACACTTTTGCACCACTCAAAATATTATAATTTTCGACTACTCAATATTTCGCGAACGACAGCGGCATCGTCTGGATAATATTTTTCTAGCATTTTGTTTGATACATAATGAGTGCCTTCGAACTTACAGAAAAATCTTCCAGTTTCTGAATTGTTTATCCATTCTTCGCATGTCGATGTTATAGCACCTAAAATAAAAAAGTAAAGATAAAAAAATTATGCATTAAATTTATTATGCGATGTATCATAAATAATATAAATAGAAATATCATAGAATATAGAAATATAAAGTATATTGAAGCATATAATTCTCGTACATTGTGGAACATAACACAGCTTATTCTCAACTAACATAACGTAGTATGGTTGCGATTTCCAATCTTTTATGTTATATTTCTCTATACATTCTTTTTTAATTTCATTCGGAATACAATATGAATTCTTATATCGAAAGCGTTCAATGTGGCATTCGTTATGCCACCCAATAATGACACCAGTAATATCTTTTTGTGTATTATCTTCCATGTCATGCTTATGTGTAACTATCATTCCAATCGCAAATTTTAGATTAGGCGATCTTGTTTTCCGAAACATTTCATCTGGACTACAAATTGTCTGAAAAATTAGTATGTATGTTACTTATGTATTTTAATTTGTTACATGTCATTAATTTATAATATGTACAATAAGTGAATTCAATTGTCTTACCTCATTATACAGAGTTATTGATGGTGATATGTACTTATTGTAGTCAGTAAAGGTGTCTTCACATTTAGTCAAAAATTCGTATATCTGCATTGACAAACTAGGCCTAAAAAATTTTTATTAAATTTAGAATCAAAATCACAAATGGCATCATATGTAAATGATTAAATTCAATTTATAAATGTGTGTAAAAAATGAATTTAAATTGATTTTCGAAACCCTATAATCAAAAATAAATGTATATTATATGCTTTTTTTAAATTTATTATAATCAAGCTTATCTATTTCAATGTTCTTAAAATATTTTACAGAGGAAACGTTGCTGATTGTGTCTTTTCTATCAAACGTTGCTGCAGTAAATGTTCGTACAGTTTTGAAGTTATAAACACCGGAAAGTAAAAGTCTAAACCTATTGGTAGTTTATATAAATAATTATATAAATACATAATTTTAAATAATTAATTTAATCAAAAATATAAATAATTAATTACCGAAGATGCAGATTTGTCAATGGAATAGACCACCCTCGTCGGCATTCTATTATGCTAAAAATTTTCGCATCTTCTGCCCACGCAAATGTGAAACATTCTAGATTTTCTATATTATTTCTGTATAAACATTAAATAAGTAACATATTTATGTACATCAGTGTAATATAGATGTTCAAAAATAATATTCATTCAATGATACATTTTTTTATCTATTTAAAACTAATTTTTTCTTAACAAAAGAAAAGTTTTTTATTATTTTAGTTGTTTAATGTATTATATATATATGTGTGTGTGTATATATATATATATATATATATATATATACATATATAAAATTAGATTATATGTATATTTTTGTCAATACACTAATCACAAAAGTGTCCTCCTACATTAGAATTAACTATCTATCTAATATTTTCTTTAATATCTCCCAAAATCAGATCATTCTTTTTTAAAACAATTTCTTTTTTATTTTTAGTTTTGTCTAAACATTTCTTTTTTTAAATCCCCAATTAAAATACTGTTCGTAATACTTGTTGAAAGTACAAAGTAATCTTCTTTCTAATTGTATATATTTTTATTAGATTTTTAAAATTTATAAAAAATTTTGTTTTTATTAAAAATAAGAGAAAAATACAGTTAATATATAGACCCTATTAAATTTTATAACTTTAGTCTCAATTTTTGTAGAAAATGCTAAAAAGGTTTAAAGTCTGAAACAAACGCTTATTTATATTGATCATTTCCTATGCTGTGAATATCTGTACGTTGTGGTTATTCGTGGAACAATTAAAAAATTATATATATATTTATACATATAAGTCTACAGTTCGTCTCAACTGTTTAGCTTGTTTCAGTATAACACTAGTCAGTTCCCTTATAATTGTAATAAACTATATATTATAATATTTAATATATATAATAATACATTAATATATATGAGTATTGACGTGCAACTTTTTATGCGAGACAATATAAATAAAAACAACTTCAGAGATAAAATTATATATATTTACCTGAAATGATGAACCAAATGTGTATCTTGAATACAATCAGTTCCATCGTGTAATTTTGTTGAAACACGTAAACCCAATCTATTTGCAACGCAGATATATATTGTCAACCACAACATATGTTTATAACGTAATATATCTTTTCTAGTCTGTCGGAAAACAATAAGTGCAAAAATATAATAAATAGAATTATAATAGAGAAATATTATTAATTATGATAGTTTTAAAAAATTCTAATTTATTATAGATAATAAAAAACATCATATATAAAAGAATTGACGTACCAGCGGTTTATAATGCCGTTCCGTACTTATCTGATTCGGTTCCATCCATGATTCATAGGAATCAAAACTTACAATAATATTGTCGAGTGCATACTTAATTGACAATGCGTGCGTTTCGTCCCAATAATTCTTATCAATATAATTATTTCTCCAAATCGCAAATTGTTCAGGTTGTATAGACAAAATCGGATGCTGGGGATATTCATCTTTCAAAAATTTTAATACTTCTTGCACGATATTATCTATGACATTATCTACATGCAAGATAGTAATAAACTTATCGGGATGATAACGTCGTAATATTATGACAAACATATCCTCCAAACGCTGCTCTTGATTGGGTAATTTCTCCAGAAGTTTATGCCATTTTAAATTAAAAATATAGTGACTCAGGCATCGAAATATTTGTATGCTGTAGTATCTTTCTGTTAAATTGGATTGGCTGAAAAAGAAAAATATTGTAAAATTAATATACAGTAATCAATTAAATATACAACAGATTACTAATAATATTTTAAAATATATTTAATCATACCGTGGATCTTGTTGAAATATGTTTCCGATAAGTTCAACAAGTAGGATAAACATATTGAAAGGGTGCTTTTCTTTATGAAGACTGAGAAATTGATTTATATCTGTTGCTGCGATATATTCTTTTTCCTTACAGTAATGATACAGCTCAGACATACGAGACACATAAAGCCACAAATCTTCCACACATTTGTTACCCTCTTTTAAATCTTTAATATTTACGTCATCAAATTCAATGCCCATTTCTTCTTTCCACAATATCGGTACAGTAGGCCATCTAAAACACAGAAGAATTAAAATAATTGTCGAAAATCATACTAAGAAAATTAATCTCATCATCCCATATTATGTATTCAAATCAAATCGAAGAAACTGATGATGTTCAATGATTCTTGAATTCTAGAAATTCTAAAATGTTAATAAGGTCTGTAAAAAATGCAAAACGTTTGCGCAATATACATACATATTTATAAATAAAAATACAGACACTATATATTTTAATTTGTTTTATACAGTGTTCTTCGCGACACACTGATATTTTATGTTTGACGCAATGTGGTAATAATATGCTAAATATAGTAAAAAGATTTGTATTTTATTTTGTTACTACATCATAACGTGATGAAATATGTAATTTGTATTGAAAACACATATGTATATGAATTATATTATATATTTATACATTACAAATGCTAATTTTAAATGCAATTACTAAATAAATACTGTAACTCAATAATCGACACGACAACATTTTTAAAGATTTAAATGACAACAATATAAAATAATTCACGCATTTGAATAATATTTCTTTTCTAATTAAACTGCATACTCTCTTCAAAAAGCAATTATTTGCGTAAGTGTATTTAAATATATTTTTCACCAAATTTTGGCAAAGTGCCTTTTTATGCGATGTATCCATCAAGTAAAATAACAAAAAGTTCATACATAAAAAAACTTACCTCTTAGTATATTTTATTTGCCAGAGATTTTTATAATGGGATATCCACTGAAATTTCTTGCACGTAGAACTAAAATTATCAATGTCCGTCAAGCTAATAGCTACGTTTTTCAGAATTATTAAAATAATCTCGTCAGGCAAATCCTCTATTGTAACCATTATATATACGAGAAAAATATATATAACAAACACACGTACAATATAAAAATAACTTGCAGTTTTAATCTTAACGCATCGAATAATGCACCAACTCCGTTTTGTAGAGAACACAAGACTTACTGCATCGTAGGACAACTGTAGACCTGGAATGTCCAAATGCTTCCGGAAAGGGTGGGGGAAACAAAGAAATGATATATTATACAGGGTGTATCAAACTTAATGTGTCACACATTAATGGGAAATTCTTGACGTGATTTGCAAACGATTTTTTCTCGGTGAAAATGTCCAGGCATCAATAATTTTCGAATTATAAACGTTTGAAAATAAGGGTTTTTCGCAAACTAAGCTTTGAGGAAATAAAATATTAACAAAGTCATATTTTTTTATTAATTTTATGTAGAGTTTACTGTAATAGAATTTTAATTTAAGGTGCAAAGATATATGATTTCAAAAATTGGGAATATGAAAAAAAGATGACCCTTCTCGACATTTTCCCTGAAGAAGAATCGTCTCCAAACAACCTTTGAAATCTCCCATTAACGTGTGGTACAATATATGTGGGACACCCTGTATATTTCTTGTATTTTTTACTCGAATTTTTACGACTTTTTTTGGACCCGACCCTGGGAATTTTATTCGTTGGAAAAAAATCCATTTTCTTTTGTACAATCTTCATTTTTTGTTTTATGGTTTGCATCATACTATATAAGCTATGAATTATCTACGTCTTAAAATATTTGCAATTTCTGCTTGCAGCGTGTGCCAAGTTATTTCTATTACAACTTCGTTAATTCTTTTTTCTTAATATTATTTTAGAATTGTTTCTTTTCTAGCAAAAGATCTAATTACCTCTTAAATTTCTAAAAATAAAATTTAGTTATACGTTCATGGCCATAACAATTGCATACGAAAAATCATATTTTTCCTATTTATAAAAAATAATAATATACAAGATATTAAATATGGTAGTTGCACACAGCGAAACATCCAATCGAAATCATGAAATAGAGGCTGCAATTATTTCCAAGACTTCAAAGAAATGTTTTATTTGTTGGTGAGTGAACACATAAGTGTGTGTGTGTGCGCGCGTGTGCGTGTTTGCGTATGTATGTATGCGTGTGTGTACATACATATTTACAAATAATGTAATATTGTTAATCCTGATTTTTTTGGACATTTCAAACATTTTAATACATTAATTATCTATCTTTTTGTCAGAAAATAGACCTTGCTACATATATTTGTTGCGCAATTTTTAAAGAATCTGTTCCTTTCGCAAGATACTCTAGACGATTTGTCATTGTGTTCTAAAAGATGGATATCTAATAGATCAATATTTTTAAATTTTAATATGGATTCTAATCAAAACCATCGTCAAAGGAGCAGACACACAACATCTTTCTGCACCTAAAATATTATATTATTTGCGACTACTCAATAGTTCGCGAACGACTGCGGCATCGTCTGGATAATATTTTCTTAGCACTTCGTTTGGCACATAATGAGTGCCTTCAAATTTACAGAAATATCTTCCAATTTCTGTATTGTCTATCCACTTTTCGTATATCGATGTTATAACACCTAAAATAAAAATGTAAAGATAAAAAGATTATCAAATGTATTATACGATGTATCAATAATAATATAAATATAAATATCACAGAATATAGAAATATAAAGTATATTGAAGCATTTAATTCTCGTACATTGCGGAACATAACACACGTCATCCTCGATTAACAAAACGTAGTATGGTTGCGATACCCAATCTTCAATGCCATATTTCTGTATAAATTCTGTTTTAATCTTAAACGGAAATTTACAATTTTTGTTTTCAAAGCTTCCAATGTGGTATCTGTTGTGCCACCCAATAATGACACCAGCAATATCTTTTTGTGTATCATCTAAGTACATGTCATGTTTATGTGTAACTATCATTCCAATCGCAAATTTTATATTAGGCGATCTCGTTTTGTGAAATGTTTCATTTGATGAAAAACATTTTGACTGAAAGATTAGTATAGATGACGCTTTAATATATATTATGTAATGTATAACTTAATTAATGTAACAATTTGAATTAAGAATAATTATAGTTAATGAGATTTTTACACGTATAACTATTACGTACGTTAATTTGTTACATGTCTTTAATTTATTATATGTACAATAAGTGAATGTAATTGTCTTACCACCACATCACACTCATCTCTTGGTGGGAATATGAAATTATCTTTCTCAGTAGGCCAATAATTAATTTTTTCGTATCGGCACATATATTTGCATATGTCCATTGACACATCACTCCTAAAAAAATTGTTATTAAATTTTTAATCAAAATCATTTATGATATCATATGTAATGATTAAATTGATATTATAAACGTGTGTAAAAAGATGAATTTAGATTGATTTTTGAAACTATAATTTAAAATATGTTGTGTATAATATGCTTCTTCAATTTATTGTAACCAAGCTTATCGATTTCAATGTTCTTAAAATATTTTACAGTAAAAATGTCGCTGATTCTGTCTTTTCTATCAAACGTCTGTGTAATAAATGTCCGTACAGTTTTGAAATTATAAATATCTGAAAGCAAAAGTATAAACCTATCGATATTTTATATAAATAACTAATTACAAAGAATATTCATCTGTCAGTGGAGGAGGCGGCACTAGTCGGAAATTTTTTATTTTAGAAATCCTTCTATCATCTGTCCATTCAAACGTGAAATATTCTCTATTTTTTGTACCATTTCTGTAAAACATTAAAACATATATACATGTACATCAGTGTAATGTAGATGTTCGAAAATAATAATTATTATATGATACACTTTTTTATTTATTTATTGGAATTAATTTTTTTATATATATATATATATATATATATATATATATATGTATAGTATCACTTATAAAAATTTATCATTAGTAACGCCAATTTATTACTTATTTCGAGTACTTATAATCACTCATTTTGAACTCTTAAATTATTGTATATCAGTATTTTTAGAACTCAAAATAAGTGATTAATTAGCATTACTAGTGATAAATTTTTGCAAGGGATTAAATTTACGGGTACCGACTAGTGTTATACTGAGACAAACTAAACTATATATATATATATATATATATATATATACATATAAGTCTGTGGTTCATCTCAACTGTTTAGTTTGTCCCTGTATAACACTAGTCGGTATCCGTAAATTTTTATTAAACTATATAATACAATTTTTAATTAATATATATAATAATATATTATAATACATGTGAGTATTAACGTGCAACTTTTTATGCGTATAATACGAATACAAAACAATATAAATAAAAACAATTAGTTTTAAAAATATAGTTATATATTTACCTAGATAGCCAAACCAAAACTAATGGAAAAAAATCTACGTATATATCTTCGTGTTCTGTTGTTGTTGCAACAAATAAACCCAATCTATTTGCAACACAAATATATATCATTAACCATATCACATGTTTATAAACTAATATATATCTTGTACCCTGTCGAAGAACAATAAGTGTATAAATATAATAAAAATTATAATAGAGAATTATTATTACATTTATGATTTAAAAGTTTTAAAAGTTCTAATTCATCATAGTTAATAAAAAACATCATATGTAAAAAAAATTGACGTACCGGCGGCCGAAAAATAGGTTTTCTTCTTATCCGATTTGGTTCCATCCATGATTCATAAGAATCAAAATGTACAATAATTTTGTCGAGTACATACTTAATTGTCTTTGCGTGCGTTTCGCTCCAATAATTTTTATTAATATAATCATTTCTCCAAATCGCAAATTGTTCAGGTTGTATAGACAAAATCGGATGCTGAAGATAATTATCTTTCAAATACTTTAATACGTCTTGCACAATATTGTCTATGAATTTATCTACATGCAAGATAGTAATAAACTTATCGGGATGATGCCGTCGTATTATTACGACAATTAATTCCTCTACACGATGATTGGGTACATACGACAATGTACCTCTTTTTATATAACAAATATTTTTATTCAACCATTCAAATATTTGTATGCTGTGGTATCTTTCTGTTAAGTTAGATTGGCTGAAAAATGTACATATTGTAAAATTAATACACAATAATCAAATAAACATACAATAAATTTTTATTGATATTTTAAAATATATTTAATCATACCGTGGATCTTGTTGATATATGTTTCTGGTAAGTTCATCATGTAAAATATATAAACTCAAATAGTACTTTCGACTATGACGACTGACAAATTTCTTTATATATTCTTCTACGGTCCATTCATCTTCCTTACAGTAATAATATATTTCAGACATACAGGACACATAAAACCACAACTTTTCCACACATTTCACACCCTTTATTAAGTCTTTAATTTTTATGTCGTCGAACTCAATGCCCATTACTTTTTTACAACATTCTACTGCAGTAGGCCATCTAAAATTTAAAACACAAAATATTTAAAAAATTTTTGAAAATCATAATAAGAAATTTAAACTCATCATCCCATATTATATATTCAAATCAAGTTGAAGAAACTGTCTATGTTCAATGATTTTTGGGTTTCGGAAATTCTAAAATGTTAATAGGATCTGTAAAAAATGCAAAACGTTTGCGCAAAATACTATTTTAAAATACATACATATTTACAAATTTCCTTTCTTTTCTAAATGAATCAAATAATTTCTTTATTTATGCGAGAAAGTTTTCCGTTAACGTTTTAAATCATTCTTCTATAAATTCAATGCCAATTGATAAAGTGTTCATTCATCGATTATTATACATGATTTATCGCGTCTACTAAAAATAGCTGACAATTCATAAAAAATTCTTTATATTCTTTACATTCCGTAAGCTCTTTTTAGCGTAATCAAGCGTGACAAATCGTATCAAATAAATGAAAACACTGCATGCAACAATAAGTACAGATGAATGATTTATTTCTCACATGTGCGTAATCTTGAGTGTGATCTTAGACATTTTTATACTGGCGAAATTACTTCTGTTTTCAATTGCAATCGGTAATTCGAAAGTTTAGTAAGTTGTTAAATACTATAAATGATGCAAACCAATACACAAAAAAATTAAAATAAATTTACTTAAATTAGGAAAGAAATATATTGAAAATGTAATAATTAACTAACAAATAATGCTAATTATAAATACAATAACTAAATAAAGGATGTAACTCAGTAATCAGCACGACAATATTTTTAAAAATTTAAATGACAACAATATAGAATATCTCACGCGTTTGATTAATATTTCTATTCTAATTTAAATGTTTATCCTTTTGCGAATTTGAAAAGACTAAGCTATATAAGCTCAAATAAATTAAAAAATGCTTTAAATTACATTTAATTCGATATCCTTTATTAGATTTCAGAATATTATTTTAAATGCCTCTAAAAGCAATTTTTTGCGTAAGTTTATTTAAATATATTTTTCGACAAGTTTTTGCAAATTTCTTTTTATGCGATGTATCCATTAAGTAAAATGATGAAAAAGTTCATACATAAAAAACTTACCTCTGAGCAAACTTTTTCTTCCAGAGAATTTTGTCACGGGACATACATTGAAATATATTGCACGTGGAACTAAAATTCACAATGTCTCTCGAACTAATATTTTTGTTTTGCAGAATTATTAAAATAATTTCTGGAGGCAAGATATCGATCGCAGCCATTATTTAACAGAAATGTGTATAATAAACACACGTATGATATAAAAACAACTGGCAGTTTGAGTTTTTCTTAATAAATCGATTGATATTTTATATACTAACGCACGTGGCCTAGTGCATCGTGAACAGCCATAGACTGAGAAATAGACTGACCAAATGCTTTGTTGAAGGGAGGGGGCAAAGGAAAAAGATATATGTATATTTCTTTTCATCTTTCACTCGAGTTTCCACAATGGTCTTTCTTTGACTAGACACTGGGCATTTGGCCTACCTTTTTTATTAGTAAAAAAAGAATTCATTTTCTTTTGTACAATTCTTCTGGTCTCGTTCTATTGTTTGCATTACACTATACCCAGCAAATACAGTAGGGGATGCCAGATGATGTTTTTACCGACCGAATGCGAGAATATTTAGTTTTTTTTATAACGTTATATTGACTATACTGATCAATAAATCCTTTTCCACGATTAAAGTACTTATAAAAACGGACCGCGCTAGCTATGTTTGCATATATATGTTGCATATAATACTTATTTAATAAAAAAGTTCTGCAGTTTGTCTGTGCATGGAAATATAGTATACGCGGTAAGGATAATATGAAGAATTATTAGTAAACGATTAAAAGTGTGTGTGAGATTGCAAGTTTAATAAAAAAGTTATATATTTAAAACATTTTTACGCGTATGTGTTATATACGTGCATATGTTTAGATATGTGTGGTGCGAAGCTATCGGAGTTCGGCCGTCCCAGCAAACACAGATATATAATTGTTACATTAACGATGTACAATTGTAACAGGAAACGAAACGAAAAATTAATTAAACGGAACTGTATCTCAATTTGAGATCCCAAAGTTCCACATATAAATTAATTTCGAAACTTACATATGGAGAAATAAGCGAGAAAAATATAGGTCCGAAAAGTCGCTGAAGCGGGAATCGAACCCGCGTCTTTCACTTTCCGGGCGACTGCTCTTACCAACTAAGCTATTCAGACCCTTTCGATCCTATATATCAGCGACTTTTCGGACCTATATTTTTCTCGCTTATTTCTCCATATGTAAGTTTCGAAATTAATTTATATGTGGAACTTTGGGATCTCAAATTGAGATACAGTTCCGTTTAATTAATTTTTCGTTTCGTTTCCTTGGCTCTATTGCCCAGCTTAGAAGACAGCATACTTATATTATTTATATATTGTGTTTGCTGTGGTCATTCCGGCATCCCCTTAAGCATATTAAATGTAACGTATATGTTAGTTGTAATTTCTTATTTATAGATGTAACATTTTTAATATTACATATATTACATTGTAGTTATATTGTCATTATATCTCAAGCTAGCACTGACTTATCAATACATCAATGTGCTATTTGGTATATAATTACAATATAACTACAATGTAATATATGTTATATTAAAAATGTTACATCTCTGAGTGGGAAATTACAACTAACATGGATGTTACATGTAACGTACACGTTATATTATCTGTTACATTCTGTTTTATTATAGCAATGTAACCGTTATATATCGGTGTTTGCTGGGATCATATTTTAATCAAAACTGACGCTTTTTTATTTCTAAGAGGAAAACGTCTTATCTTATAACTTATTATGTTATTTTTAAAAAATTAGTGTTGAAATGCATTTTACAAGATTTTATTATTACATCACAGTCTTTTTTACACTGTACTTCTCAATTTACTCCAACATTTTGTTTTAAAATTAAACAATTATGATAACAGAAATTTTAGCTCTCTCAATTGTCGATTCTTTTGATTTATTTTTTATCAAATAACTAGCAATTTACGAAGATTGCAGTATAAGTAGCGTTATTTAAGTATCTTTCTCAATCACCAAATGTCAAAGTACTTATTGACTAATAAAAACAGTAGAAAATTATTGTCAATTTTTTATTTTAAAAATCCAAATATTGTTATATGAGTTTACTTTTAACACGATTTTACGTTTATTTTATAAAAAGACAAATTAAGTGTGACATGAAGAATCATCAAATCTTATTATAGAAATCATTGAATTATTTTAGTGTCACATTGTATCACTTTTGTCCGGGATACCTTCTATCACGTGCTAATGTTTTGTACTAAATCTCCTTGAGATTTTTTATCACAAACTCTTTGAGTGAGAAAACAGCTTTTGGAATTATCCGCAAGTGGTCGTATGCGTGAAAATATGGATGGAAAATATTTATATTAGACAGAGTCAGTAACAGTAAGAGGCTCCGATAATAAATACAATGTGCGAAAAACAGGGCCAATTAAAACTCAGACATTATTATTGATACGCAAAACGAATATTGATAAATTAAATATTTTAACACGGCTCTGTAAATATAAATTTAAAGTGTAAGAACGACAATAAGAGCCAATCGCGGAAGACAGTGCGTTATCCCAACGAAACTAAATTTTTTGCTAGAATTAAATATCTGTGCACAAGGCACTAAATTTTACTTGGTCACGGCCAAGATTTTTAAAAATATAAAATAATCGCATTTTTGAATTTAATTTTAATATTCCTTTAACCCCCCCTACGGAAATAAATAAATAATAAACTGCAAGAGAAAAATATAGATCCGAAAGTCGCTGAATCGGGAATCGAATCCGAGACTTTCCGAACCGCGCATTCAACGAGCGATAATCACCGCACGGTTGCCACTCTTTACCTCTTTTTGACATCAAATGTAACAGAGACGCCCAACTACTTTTTGACGGTCTCACGATATTGAGCTCTATCATTTTTTCGAATTTTTTTCGCGCCGCGGTCAATTTATCCGGCGCAAGAATTTCTTAACACGATATCCTTAACACACGTCGTTTGTAATTTTAATTTTTATTTTGTATATATTTTATATGCTTGTGGCATTTATCGCCACAGTACTAACTTTCCGTGTTGGTAACAAAACAATAACGGTGACTTAGAGAGGTATACTTTGTTTCGAGAGAAGTGTATATGATATTAAGAGTTGAATTGTATATTAAATTCAAATTGTCTGTGTCTTTCTGTAAATAATTCATGGAACCTTTATACATTTTTATAAAGATCATTTCCGCAATATCTCTTTTCATATAACGCGTTTCTGTAGAATGGAGAGAGATTGCCAGTTAAAATCATAATGGAAAATTATACATTATACATACAGAAATCGGTGCGCAAAACAAATTTACTCTTTATTCAATTTTCGAACGTTTCGACCATTTTTTGTGGTTATATTCAGTGTATAATAAAAAATGACTTAAATTCTTATTGATATAAATTTATGGTTGCAAACGTTAGTTGTACGAAAAAACTAAGTATTATCGCTAACAATTGTAAGACGGAGTCAATAATTTTAAAAAACTGTTGCAAAACAAATCGCTATTATATCGATAAAAAGCACGCGACGACATTGAGCGATCGACTTTCGAGAAGTTTATTTGACCGGCATCGAAGAAATTAACGCCAACATTTTTTCCTACATATATCAAGAGTATAGTGAGATAATATTCGTTCAACCACGCAGAGAGTTTCTCAAAAATTTCGCCACATTCATATAGATTCTTATATATAAATATCGTAACTATTATATATGCAAACACAATATAATACAATTTACATACATTTTTTTATAAGTTAACGTATTTATATCTTATATAAGTATATTAATGTTCATGGATCAGTTTTCTTCAATGATTACTTTCAATAAAGTCTGTTTTCTCATTTCTTTTTCCATTCAAAGTCTTAAGTAATCTCTAAAAATAAGAAATAGGTACCATTAAAAGTTTATCGTATTTTATTCGATATCTTCAGCTTCTGGATGATAATTAAGAACGCTTTCGTTGATCAGAATTGTCTTTGTTCAAGAGGCTATATAATATATATATCTTACTCTTTCTGAAATATTTGTAATACATTTTTTTTTTAAATGGCAATCGCGCCAGGAGTAGCATTCGAGCTATTATAATAATCTTACGTTTATTGAACATTGCGCGTTATGTATTTATAATAATCAGATACAAACTTAAGCACGTAAATATACATATATCCGATTAAATGCTCTGTTAATCTTCTGCCGATTAAACTTAGTCAATAAACATTAATAGTTCTCACTCTCTTTCTCTCTTTCTCTTACTTGTAGCAAAACATCGTTTATTTCTCAAATAATTCCCAGCCAGAAATGATGGTAAAATCGACGTTTTTTCGACCGACTATTTCTGACTAGGCTCTTACACTTTCATTCCGCCCTTCTCGTGTAAAATTTTACTCTCGCATTATCGACGCCAAAAACAGCTCTTTTTACAGAATTCTACGTACTATTGGCGGTTATTTCACTTATTAGGTTGCCGTCAGGTTGTTGTTGGAGTAGCTCAGTGTTGTCGTTGTTCGCCGTCTGCTGTTGCTGCTCCTTCTGGTTCTTGCGCTGCGTCCGGTTCCGTTTGTGCACGCAAAACAATGCCACGAACACCACGAAGAGGAACACCGAGATGGACGAGGCGACGTATATCCAGACCGATCGAGCCTTCTCGGTCTTTATCTTGTGCTGTATCATGGCCGAGCACTCGTTGAACAGCTCGTACGTCCGATTGCTGAATTTCACATTGGTACAGTCCTTGTGCAGAGTTGTAGGTGGATCGATGCAATTGTAGAGATTGTCGGACTTCATTTTGATCTTTCGTAGCTCCACCCAGGCGTTGAACGTCTGACAATCGCAGCTATCCGCCTTAAAATTTATGTTATTCCCGGTCAGATCAAGCTCCTTCAGCGAGCAGAAGGGCGCCAGATCCTCGGTGCTGATCGAGGTGATGTTGTTGTTGGACACGTTGAGATCAAGAAGGGTCGGCTGGACACCTATGTTCGGGATCATGGTTAGCTCGTTCTTGGCCAGCTGCAGCAGTCTGAGAGGCGAAGTGACCTTCATCTTAAATACGGAATCGGTGAGCAGGTTATCGTCGAGATAGAGCGTGCGAAGATACGGCATTTGAAAGAGACTTTTGGGTAGTGTGCGGAAACGGTTTGTCGCGAGTTCCAGCACCTCCAAGTAATGCTGATTGGCGAAGGCTGCCTCATCGATTTTACGAATGAAATTGCGAGCTAGATAGATGTAGGCCAGTTTCTTGTAAGGATACAGACTGTCGTTCTCCAGTGTCGGCACTCCATTGTTGGTAAAATCCAGTACCTATAGCAAACAGAAGAGAAATGTCAGAAGTATCAACAGGGATGAAACATATACAGAGTGGGCGATTTTAATCGATCCATGCAAACATCTTTTGAACAGTGCATTTTAGAATGCTTCATACAAAAGTATTTCAACTAATAAACAAAATTGATACTAATATAATAATATGTTGATATTAATTTAATTAATAAAACTTTTTTAAATCTGTAAATAGAAATTTTATTAAGATAATCGATTTCAAACTTTAAATTAACTATTCATTTGTTCGATCAAATTAAATTATAGTTGTACTCTTCTTTTTAAATTAAATATTTCGAGTTTAAAATAATGTCATGTTTTTTTAAGTATATATTGTGTAACCGGCGCGCGAAAGTCACTCTTTACGCACATGATGGAATTTTAAAAAGCGCTCCCTTTCCACACACCGGTTACATAAAATATCATAGCCAACATGTGCGAATCATAAATCGGCCGATCGTGCGGATTGTCACACTCGGTTTCGCCTCGTGCGCCAAACTCCCGCACTCTCGGCCGATTTACGATCCTCCGCACTTGTTAGCTAATATACTATTTTTCCCAGCTTGTGTTTTAAAACAGTACCATTCAATCATACATACTTTATAATATTAATTGTAAAATATTCGAATAATTTTGATTTGCATCGAACAGATTCTCTACGTGATCCAGTCAACTTTGTCAATTGAATGCACACACAGTCCTCTGTTCGCGTTAATTTGTATGTGTGTGTGTATGTGATGCTGTATCTAGTATTATAAATCGTAATATCTTTTTAAGTATATTATTATAAATAAAAATAATTCTTTGACACATTGCTACTCAATCTTTTATTGATCAAAGTTTTATGCAAAATAGAAACACGTTGATTTAAAAAAATTGATGCAGATAAGCATTGTTATTTGTTGAATTAAAAAAATTGAATGTGGAATTTCGTGCAATTCCAGATTCGACTAAATTTTATTTTTTAATTTATAAATCTTAATTTTATCAATTATAAAATAAAAGATTATGCAGATAAGATAAGAAAAAGATTTTTGCCATATATGCAGAAAATATCCTTTTATAATAAAGAAAAACATGACAATATATTTATTGCAATTTTAAGTAATATATTTTTATTCATATTTCAACAACAATCTCACCTGTATGTTCGTCTTTAAATGCAACGAGATTTCGTGCAATTCCAGATTCGAGCAAATGTTTTATAATATTATTTTTAATTTATTTACCTTATATATCTTAATTGTATAATTAATGTAAAAAAAAAAATAAATAAAACGAAGTCTTACGTATTCTAGAACTCGTTACAAATTCCTTATTTTATGCGAATTGCAGATAAGATAAAAAAAGATCCTTGCGATATATGTAGAAAATATTCTTTTATAGTGAAAAAAACATACATTACTATTTTTTATTGCAATTTTAAGTAAAATATATTTAAACCACCATCTCACCTGTATGTCCGTCTTCAAATTTAACGGGATTTCCTTCAATTTCAGGTCGGAACATCGCGCTACCAGTACGACACGAGCTTTGTTGTAAAAGCACTTCGCCGTGGGCGGTTTTGGAAACCCTATACTCTCGGGGAACATGATTCCCGATGAACCCAGCACCAGAACATCCGGTACCGTGGCCACGACAAAACACACTAAGAGGAACCCGTTGAAGTGAAAGATGCTCATATCTGCAAGAATCAGCGGAAACGTACGCTTATAAACTTTGCCCAAACTTTGCCGCAACCGGATAATTAATCGCTCGCAAAGGTGCAATATTTAGTATTCTCTTTTTACACTATCACATTATCATTTATAGTATTTTAGTATCACGCAATAATTCTCCATGTTTCTCTATTACATTTTAAATTATATATTTGTAATATAATATAGTATATATTATTTTATATATATTTTATTATTATATGTTATCAAGAACAGCGAAAGCAGACGACCAGATAGGTTACGATTTAGGTGTTTATTGTTGACATAAGGTTATTACAATCAGGGAGGAGAATTGATATTAAGAAATAAAAGACTAATGCATGACTAAAATATTACACATATATTGCGATAAATCTAGGCGTGTGTGATATGAACATTACAATTAGTCTAATTGAAAATGATATGCTATATTATATGATATAATATAATATGATATATATATTTTTATATGATATAATATATTGTATTATTTTATAATATATTATATGTATTATATATTATTTTACTTGCGAAATATGTCGAGGATATTTTTGCGAACGTTAAATTATTCAATCGAACTTTTCTATTTTAAAAATCTGTTTTTATAAAAGATAGGAAGAAGGAGGGCGAAATGACGATAGGCTTAAATAAGCAAGTTAAAAAAAGTTGATTAGCCGGCGAGATAGTTTGAAGAAAAAATTTAAAAAAGAGAAAGAAAAAAAGAAAAAGTTGTGGAAACTTTTCCAATCATTCGAATTATCTCTTGTAACAGTCGTTTACACACGAGTAGTTAGAGATAACACCTATTCTTAAAATTGACAAACATCTATTCTTAAAATTATTCTTATATAATAAAAAGTTATTTCTTAAAAAAATATTTTTTCTAAAACATAGAAATTTTTATAAATTTTTCACATCTGATCAAGCTTTCTCCCTTATAACCTTTACATATAATTTTTTTAAATTTGCAAAATTTTATTTCGAAAGTCTGATCAAGTCATGTTTTAAAATGACACAATATCTGCAAAAATATTGTGAATTTGAAAAGGCTAGGTATACATTAATTTTTAAATTTATTAAATTACATTTATTTTGAAATTTATTAAATTTCAAAATATTTTGCAATTTTTTGCGTAAAGTCTTCTAAATATATTTTTCGCCAAGTTTTTGCAAAGTTCTTTTTATGGGATGTGTCCATCAAGAATAACAAAAAAGTTTATATATAAAAAAACTTACCTCTAAAGATATTCTCTGAAATTGCTTGCACGTAGCACTAAAATTCTCAACGTCCGTCAAGCTAATAGTTACGTTTTTCAGAATTATTAAAATAATTTTAGTAGGCAAATCCTTTATTGTAACTATAATTTATGTGCCAAAAAAAAAATATATATATATATAACAAGCACACATACAATATAAAAAACAACTTGCAGTTTTAATCTTAACAAATCGAATGATATTCTATGCACCAACTCCGCTTGTAGACAGCACGAGGCTTACTGCATCGTGGACAACCATAAACCTGGAATGTCCAAATGTTTCCCTAAAAGGGAGCGGACAAAGAAATAGTGATATAATATACAGGTTGTCCCAAACTTAACGTGCCACACATTAATGGGAAATGTTTGAGGTGATTTGGACACAATTTTTTCTCAGCAAAAATGTCCAGGCATTAATAATTTTCGAGATATAAGCGATTAAAAATAAAAGGTTTTTGTCAAACTAATTCTTGTAAAAATAAAATATTAACAAAATCCCTTTGCTTCTTTTATTAATTTCATGTAGAAATTTACTTTAATGGAATTTTAATTTATGGCTTAATTACAAAGATACATGATTTTTCAAAAATTAGAAACATTTAAAAATAATGATCTCGACATTTTCGCTGAGGAAAAATCGTCTCCAAAGAATTTTAGGAATTTCCCATTAACGTCTGGTACAATAAGTCTGAGACACCCTATATATTTCGTTTATCTTGCACTCGAGTTTCCACAACCAACGGTCTATCTTGAACCCGATTCAGAGATTTTGGCCTGCCTTTTTCGTTCGTGGGAGAAAAATTCATTTTTCCTTGTAAAATCTCCAGTTCTCGTTCTATGGTTTGCATCATACGTTAATTTCGTTTTCTTAATATTATTTTAGAATTGTTTCTTGCAAAATAACCTAATTATCTCTAAAATTTCTAAAAATTATATTTATTTATATGTGGTTTTGATAATGTTCATAGCCATAATAATTGTATACTAAAAATCATATTTTTGCTGTTTATAAAAATATAAATATAAACAATATATATTAAATATGTCAGTTTTACACAGCGAAACAACCAATTATGATATCAATTGGCTAACAAAATAAGGTTTAAAAAGCAGGAACGTTTATTATATAGATTAATCCACGTTTGCTTTTAAATTTGTTATTTTTTTAAATCTTTTCTAATTTTCTGAATTTTAGGAAAAACATTATTTATTGTTAAAGAATAAACATTCCTGCTTTTCAGAGCTTATTTTCCCTATAAGCGCATGATATTATTTAATATTCTAGGCGCATTCTTACAATATTAAATATTCTTAAAATACGCCTAGAATATTGCTTAAATATTAACTAATATCATGCACTTATAGGGCTGTTTCTTTTTAACATTAGATACACAACATGTGTCTATAACGTAATGTATCTTTTTTAGTCTGTCGAAGAACAATAAGTGTAAAAATATAATAAAAATAATTATAATAGAGATTTATTATTAAATTTATATTTTAAAATATTATAATGTATCCTTTTTAATCTGTCGAAGAACAATAAGTGTAAAAATATAATAAAAATAATTATAATAGAGATTTATTATTATATTTATAACATTTTGAAATATTATAATTTGTGATAGATAATAAAAAAAACATCGTAAAAAAACTTAAAATATTCGGGACATATATATTTAGGATTCGTATTTATCCGATCCAGTTTTATCTATGATTCATAGCAACTGAAATATACAATAATTTTGTCGAGTACATATGTACTTAATCGACATTGCTTCCTCTTTGTACCAAAAATTTTTATCAATACGATTATTTCTCCAAATCGAGAATTGTTCAGATGATATGGACAATATTGGATGCTCGGAATATTTATCTTTCAGAAACTTTAATACGTGTTGCACGATATTGTCTATGAATTTATCTACATGCGAGATAGTAATAAACTTATCGGGATATGATACGATCGTAATATTATGACAAATATATCCTCCAAACAATCTTCTTGATTGGATTTCTCTACAAATCTACACCGTTTAAAAAAAAAAATGATTTGATTCAGTTCTCGAAATATATTTATGCTGCAGTATCCTTCTGTTGAATTCAATTGGCTGAAAATACATATTTATTGTAAAATTAATACATTAATCTATTATATTAAACATGCTAATGACGTTTTTATAATATTTGAAAAACATTTAGTCATACCGTAGATCTTGTTGATATATGTTTTTAGTAAGTTTATCAAATAAGATAAATAAATTCACGAGTGCTTTATTCTACGCAGACTGAATAGACAATCATATATATATGTGTTAAGAAATATTTAACACAAAACAAGATATAGTTTTTATATTACTTTTGTACGATAAATTTTGGTACAGGAAGAAGAGTCTTTTAATAAAAGTACGTTTAGTTATAGCTTATCGTTAAAAAAATTTAAGTTTCCCGATAGCGTTTTAAATCCTTTTTCTGTACCCATTCATCATTATATACGATTTGTCACGTGTATGATAAAATTAGCTTACAATTTTTAAAAATAAATAAAAATTTATTTTTTAATTCTCTGTGAATTTTCAGTCGATTAAACTCTTTCAATAAACACAAACAGTTCTCGCTTTTACTTTATCTTAGAAAAAAGAGCTGTTTCTGGCGTCGACAATGTAAAAGTAGAATTTTACTTATATATATTTACATGCAAATAAATAAAGGAATTTATTTTTTAAAAATTGTAAGCTAATTTTATCGTACACGTGACAAATCGTATATAATGATAAATGGGTACAGAAAAAGGATTTAAAGCGCTATCGGGAAACTTTTTCGCATGTACGAAATCAAAGATTCGATTTTTAGCGCAACTGATGGGGTAATTTCTTATTATTCTGCTTTAATTTAAATATGGACAAACAATTAAAATAAGTGTATATATTATTTTATTATGTATATTCTATAATTCAATTTTTACATAATATTTTAAAAAACGTATATATATGTACATATATAAATATAATATATACATATATATACATATATTATGATAATCTTTTCAGCGTAGAAATTAATTATACAAGTTCTTTCCTTTCCGCTAGACTCGTTGGTTATTTCGATTCGTATTAAATAAAATTATAATGATTAAAAAATTAATTACTCACACATTACATAAAATTGAATAATGTCGCGCTTGTGCTATGCAAACGTTGTATAATAAAAAAAACAATCGTGTAAATTACCAGTAATCCAACATTTGTAATGTATAACGTAAATATACAATATAATTTTTATATATAAATATGTGTAATATAAATTATATATTTCATCGCTTCACTCAGATATACAGTGTAATAATAAAATATAATAGAATACAAATTTTCTTACTATATAACACTTTATTACAACATCGCCATAAAACATAAAATATCAGTTTGTCGTAATAAAACACTGTATAAAACAAATAAAAATATACAGTCTGTGTATTTGTAAATATATATGTATTTTAAAATAGTGTCTTGCGTAAAACGTTTTGCATTTTTTACAAACTATTAACATTTAAGAATTTCCGATAACTAAGAATCATCAACCCTCAATTTTTCAATTTGATTTGAATATGTAATATGGGATAATGAGTAATTTTTTAAAATTATTTTCGAAAATTATTCAAACTATTTTGTGTCTTAAGTTTTAGGTGGCCTACTGCACAAACTATTTTGTAAAGACGAAACAAGCATTAAATTTGATGATGTAAATATAGAAGATTTAAAAGAGAGTTTGAAATATGCGGAAACAGATTCGTGGTTCTATGTCTAGTATGTCGAGAAGTATGATTACCGTGAGCAAAACAAATATGTCGTATATATACCAAGTGGTATTGGAATATTATTATTCATACAATAAAAATAAAAACTAAATAAAATTTACATAATTGTTATTTTTAATTAAAATTTACAATTGAAAAGATATCCTAAATCAATCCATAATAAATTCAAAATAAATTTATAATTGAACCAAAGTTGGCTACATTTCGGACATCCTATGGACGTAACAAGTTGTAACTAATGCACATCTTATAAACGTTCATCGAATGTATAGACCTTATTTGGATTGTTTAAGAATATCTCAATGTCCAATAACAAATATTCACTGAACATAAATTAGACATCCTTGTGCTATCAGGGTATAAAAATATTAATCTCTGCGGAACTGTCTTCTTTCATTTCTGGATAATAATTAATAACGCTTTTGTCGATCACAAGGTCTATGTTCAAGAGGCTTTATAATATATGTATCTTCAGAAGAACGTAGAATCCTGTAAAAAAGCTGTTTCTGGCGTTAACCATTATCGGACGTACGAGATGTTCAACGAGTGCTTGGCAATGATACAGCAGAAGATGAAGACCGAGAATCGATCCGTTTGGATAAGCGTCGCCTCGTGCGTCTCGGTGTTCCTCATCATGGTCTTTACGGCGTTGTTTTGCGTGCACAAGCGGATCTGTAGATGGCGCAGGAAACAGAAGGAGCAGCAATAGCTGACGGCAAATAACGACAACACCGAACTACAACAGCAAGAATAATACATAATACAAACGATTATTTCTGATTGGGCTCTTACACTTTCATTACGTCCTCCTCGCGTAAAATTCTACACTCGCATTGTTAACACCAGAAACAGCCTTTTTTACAGGATTTTACGTTCTATCGGATTATTTCACTTATTATCCTTGCCGTTGAAGTTCGGTGTTGTCGTCGTTCGCCGTCAGCTGTTGCTGCTCCTTCTGCTTCCTGCGCCGTCTACAGATCCATTTGTGCACGCAAAACAACGCCGTAAAGACCATGATGAAAAACACCGAGACACACGAGGCGACGCTTATCCAAACAGATCGATTCTCGGTCTTCATCTTCTGCTGTATCATAGCCAAGCACTCGTTGAACAGCTCGTACGTCCGATAACTGAATTCAACGTTGGCGCAATTCTCGTTCTGACCTGTCGACGAATCGGTACACTTGTAGAGGTTCTTGGACTCCATCTTGATCTGACGCAGCTTTACCCATGCGCTGAACGTCTGACAATCGCAACTGTTCGTGTTAAAACTGATGTC